ATGCCTGCAATGTTCACAGTGTAGTTCACAAAAGAACTCCTCCAGGTTACTGCTCCGAAAAGCGCCTTGTGTCTGTTTATCCTCTAAATGTAAAATAACATTTGTCTGCAGATAACCTATTACAGTTTCGTATTTCATTATCTACGCCAACTGCAACAGATTTATATTTCAGCGTACGCTACTTAAAAGTATTCCTCCAGTTGCTGTAATTACCAGTTAAATGTAGCCATCACTTCTGACATTTCTATTATTTTTCATTTCAGTACATTTATGAACGTTTTAATTGAACTGTTTTTCACATTGCGATAAGAGTGGCTGTATACGAAAGCGTATTTTTAACCTGTACCCCGTAACAATAATTTATCTGATTTGTATGTTATAATGATTATCGTGGTCTGCACAAGTATCGTTTCTACTAAACCATTTAAGAAAAACTCGCGTGGATCATATTTGTCGTACGCCTTTTGAATAATTAAATGTTCGCGCATTAATGAAAGTCCTTGTTGAACGTGTGATCATGCCCCCGGACTTAATGTGCTTGAGAAGGGACACCACATATCTTACTGGAACAAAGTTGTTCTCGAAAACCTAAGAGTCTGTCAGGTTGTAAAACAGTTGTGTGACTCTTCCGAAACTCGAATGTTCATTGCCATGTACACTGAACCGTATTCTGGATAATTTTGATCCCATACACACACTCATACCGACGTCCTTAGGATTCACTTAAATATGTCCTCACATTAATGTGTATATCCCCCAATTGGCTTCTTACCTTTAGTTATTTCCATTAAAATGTACTCATCTTTCCATGCGTGCTATATGTCCTCACTCAATCTTCAGTGCGTCCTTTCGATGTGGGGATCGGTAGGTCCCAGAGTCTGGTAAATATAGAAGAGAGACAAATCTCTGTCCCTACCGGGAATAAGATGACGGTTCTCTGTTTCCTACAGAGTATGGACAATAATATCGACTTTTTACAGTATGAAGATTTCTGTCTTCTGAGTTGTTACGCCGTGTAGTCTGGTCGATGTTAACCAACGTTTCAGAGGTCATACTGCCTCCGTATGAATCACCCTGATGACGGAGGCAGTATGACCTCTGAAAAGAAGTCTGTAAAAGTCTTATGAGTAAATATTTTATGATCTAGAATTCAGGATGTGAATAGTAAATGGGGATTCGCACTTTATAATTATTGTTTTAATTATCTCTACAGTAAGACATTCGAATAGTTAAGAAATTTGATGGTACGGTCTTTTGTATGTTGTTGATGCTAATGTTTTCGCCTAAGTACATCCTAAATCAAATCTAAAAGTTCGTGACAATGTTGAGTCATTTGAATAAAAATTTTCTTGGATATTTTCCATCGCCTAAGAAATAAAATAGAAAAACGACGTTTCGGAGATGGAAAGTATCCAAGAAAATTTTTATTCTATTTACGTCCTACAAATAAGAATGGAAATGGTCTTAGAAGCAAGTACAGAAATTGACACAAAATTCATATGACCGAGAATTAAGTACATAATCATGTCTAAAAAATCAGGAGAATCGTAAAGACGTTAAATAACAACTTGGATCAAAGTCATTCCTGAAGCTGACAGTCGCTCAGTAAGTCGAGAAAGTCCTGGCCTGTCATACAGTATCAACACTTTTAACCACGTAAAAAAGCCCGTTACTGAACACATTAATTTATCATTTAATCCAGTCATTATGTTCACACGTTACTTTTAAACGCAGATTTTAACATTGCCCTCCCATCTATGAATACGTCTCCTAAATAGTTTCTTCTTTCAGATTATGGACTACAATTTTGTATGCATTTTCCTGCACACTGATGTACCGCCCACTTTAACCGCCTTTATTAGATCAGCCTAATCATATTGAGCGTAGAGGACGAATTACTATTATCCTCTATACTTAATTTACTCCTTTCTCTTCTTATTTAATTTCTCTTAATCATAATTCCGCTGTTCGCTAAAACGTCCCTTCCCGAGGTCATCACTCCTCAGAAGCTGAATTTCAGTTCCATCAGCTGAAACTTAAATACCACGAACCTACCAACGTCACAATTTCACGTACTTGTCCTGCTCGGTGACTGTACTGTTATATCAAGTTACAAAAGTGGACGAGAATTAACGCCGCTAGATTTCGGAAAGTCAAAATAGGTTCTTCAGCCCCTCACCTCTTCCCATTGTTAAAATCACAGATGCCAATACAGGACAGAGTATCTTCTTGTTATGTCCGAAGCTGATGAGCCTACGTCATACCAACATCTACCTAAAGACATCTTAAATTTGCAAAGATGACATTGGTCTCTAGCTCAATGAAATTTCTGACACAATCATCAAAATGTATTAGTTAGAATTTTGAATAGGCATGGCATCTATCCTTAAATTATTTTAAGTAATAGCTGTTTCGGACGAAATATTTGTGTTGACGCATATAAATATTACAATGGCCATGTTCTGTGATGTTGCATTTTGTAGTCTGATATATATTTTTCGTTGTTTTGGTAGAGATTCCTACCTCCAATATCAAGTTATTCGCCCTGAAGATGAAGGCAATAAGCTCCTCCGAATCATCATTCAGTATGTATTATAATATACCAGAGGACGGGCAGCATTATACTCTCCGCCGCAAGTTCCTGAAATCTTTTCTATATTGTCTGTGAAGTTCTTTAGAAACAGAAACAAAACATTTTATAAAGCGAGATTAATTCAAAACTGTTATTCGCTACAGCTACCTGAAGACAGTTACGCGTCAAGGAAACCAAATTAACTTAATATATCAAAATTACACCACTTTATTACATATTTTGATAGATCTCTTGGCGTGCTGTGGACATTGTTTCATAACAGATGTATTGCAGATTGATTAAAACCTCGTCAAATTCTCTTCTGATGTTACACGAGGTGTAATCATGTTTTATAAACTGTTGTTTAAAACATACACTCGTGATCTATTGGTCCATCCTTTTTAAAGTATTTAGGATACTTTTACATACGAGGTGGTGGTGTTAACACTTGATGGATTTACAAAACCTAAATGTCCCATTCGAACTTGAAATGCGACTTATAACAGTCGATACAATTGTGTTTGTAATTTTTTATGCTTAACAGCAAGGGAAGATAGAACATCACAAACAGATATAAACACTTATGATAAAAAAATGTTTATTAAATGAAAATATTATTTTCACAACATAAGAATTACGCCGTCTTCTCATCTCGCCGTGAGATTATTTAGGGGAGTGATTAACAGCGCATAGAGCCCTCAATGGAATCTGTCGTAAATGATTACTTACTGCTTTGCGGGTTCTACTCGTTAATCACGTCCCCTGGCACATTCAGATAGCGTATTCAAGTAATATAAATTACCACTAAGTTTCTCTGCTTATAGAACGAATCGCATACTTAGAGGCTGATCAGAATAAAAGGTTGCGTGAACCAGAACAAACTTTTATAGTGTAGCGACTTTGAAGTAAAAGATTTGGCTAATTATTGAACCCTAATTATATACACACCTACTTACGTAGGAAAAGTAGGTTTAGTCGGCTAAAAATGTACTTAACACGGACTTACACAAAACAATAGTGAGTATATTAAAATTGGAATTGGAAATAGACTTATTCTGCACCACGTATAACACAAAATAAGTCAGATACCTAAATATCTGTTGTGAAAAATAATTTTGTCAACACTCAAGAAATTGCCGGATTTAAATAGCGTAGATCTTTCCCATTTGAAAATAGCTGATTTTAATTACTTTCTGCGTTGTAATAATACCATGACAAATTTATAATGTTCGTCAGAGAAGAACAACTTTCTATGATCGGTTATCTATGGTCAGATGATGTGAAAATTATTGCAGTCTGCGGATGAATTATATTTCTTTAGGGCAATAACTTTGGCAGTCTGGAAAAATTCAAAGGACAGCGGATGAATTCTTATGGTGCGCGTTTTTCGTGGCAGTCAATTGTGACAGATGATGCGGAGGGAAAGTAAAACGACCAGCATATCCGAAGAAGAATCAGCATTTGTGCAGATTTATATGAAATGAGCATGATTCATGGAAATATAATGTGCAAGACCGGCTAAAGACGCGACATTTATTTTATTCTGACACTTGTATCTTCTATAGATTGTAGGCTTCCTGCAGCTTAGGTAGGAACATTTCTAACTTTCTCAAGAATTATATTTCGCAAGACAATTTTGTTTTTGGCGTTCTTTTTTTAACCAAATGAAATTTGTTTAGGTAATGACTTTATCCATATCCTGAGCTCTTGCGCACAGAATATTCTGGTACTTTCTGTTTGGTAAGTGTAGAGACTGGCAGCAACTAGACATTTCCCCGTTTACTACAAGTACGGAGGGTGTTTTCGAACAGTCGCATGACCTACAAATGCTGGCCGCCTGCCCTCATGCAGCCAATGAGGCGCGTAGGTGCACGTGTATGCTTGGGATTATGAGATAAAATCCTGC